TACTTTTATTTTTTCATGCCTATTTAAGCGCAATTTATGACAGTATGTTTGCACTGAAGCACCGCAGCAATTTCCTAATGTTGTAAACCTGCTCAACATTTGGCAATAAAACCCTTTCTGATTCTGATTCTTTTGGTTAAACTTTCAGCAAGGAATTTGCATTTGCACTGTTAAATTTTTATATAACTTTAATGCACATAAAAAACAGCTGCTCGTTTAATTGAAAATACCTTGATTTTTTTTTTTGCACAAATAAAGTTGTGGAGTTGTAAAGTATCTTGTCTAGTGTCAATTATATCGTCAATTATATCGTTATCGCAAATTTTCAAATCTATATCGAGATAAATATTTTTGGTCATATCGCCATGCCTGGATAACTGAGAACCTACACAGATGGGTTTTTTTTGGATATTCAGTGACCTCCACTGTCACTCCCTTCCCTATTCCAGCCCACTTGTTAGCTAATCAAACTCAGCAAATGCATACATCATCCGCTTCCCGCAGCGAGACGACAGGATCTTGTGAGGCTACACAAGAGCACATCTGCGATGTGTGAAAACCCCTCTCCCTGTCCAAATATAAACACGTAGGCAGACGGACACATTTGCAGCACCATAAATTACGCTTTAGCTTGCCATCCATCTGTGCAGCATGCAACTAAGTAAAGAAATTACTTTCACAGAGCCACAAACAAGCTGGAAATAACATTTTGTTTATCATACTCAAGCAAATCACAAGCCTGAAATCATATTCCAGCCAGTCAGCCAATGAAAACATAACTGAATCAGATGGTTTGTGTGAAGAAGCAGAACAGATGGGACATCCTGTCGTGCTAACAGAGGCTCAAGTATCAGTATGTGGTCCTGTGTGTCAGAGTGTATGTATGAGGATTTCTTGTCCTGGTTTAAGTATCCTTAGCCTGCAAAGAAGTAGTTAAGTAAAATGTAATGAATGAATGTAATGAACATATATTCAAATGCATGGACTTGATCAATTTGCTATTTGCAGTGCCTCACAGTGGAAACCAGCAGACAGTTTCCAATCACGTGCCCCTAGTGAGTCAAGCATCACTGGACTATTCTGGCTGGTGAGCGACTAATTTCTGTGTAAGTTTTCCCAAATCATTCAGAGGGAAGCAGCTCAGTCTCAACCTTCAACTTTATCTCAGTCAAGGCATTGGCACAGTAAACAAATATGAGCATGTGGCTGAATTGCATTAGTCACAACTGCAGTGATTTGCTGGGGAATGCTGGGAAAGATTATCGTGGTCTAAGAGGCTAAAACAAGAACTGCTAATAAAGGGAAATAGAAGAGAAAAAGACAAAGAGAGAGCGGAGATGTTGGGAGCTCAAACTTTACCTCTTCTGATGTTATATCATCTTCCAAATCCACCGTGCTGAATCTGCCTATCCGAAATACACTGCCTGATCCGGACAGCTAAAGACATCACAGACAGCAACATAAATATATGAGTATGGCCATGTGTAGGACTTTTCAGGATGATACGTTACATTGTTAACTGCTGGTATCCATTTAAGAAACTAACACAAGAGTCTTCTCCCCTCTCCTTGGAGACTAAAGTCTATTTTTGGACATCTTTTGATGTTGGACTCATATGAAATTATACATGTCGGGTAAGATTTTTAAGAGTAAGAAGCTCTCTATTGCTCCCTTTATTGAAGAAATATTCGACTTCAAAACAAACAAAAAATCTACAACAGAAAATGCACACAAAAAGCATGTTCTTTTCCATACCTTTACATTTTCTGATGCAAATGAGAAAACATCCATTTTTGGATGCGCATATTTGGAAGGGGATTAACGTGAGACTACTTTCATGTTGGCTAATGCCACACAGGCAGAAACGGTAACAGTAAAAAAGGAAGTTGGATTTTCCAGAATATTTCAGTATTACTCTGACAGGCAGACGTCTGCAGGTCTTGTAACTGGATCGTGCTGGGATAATCACACTTCCCAAAGCAGTCACATTACAGTTTACCTGTAGCCCAGGTAATCCAATTTGTCCCAGGGTGTTTTCCAGCGTCAAACAGGTTAGGAAATAATGGAAGTAACAGCGAATTACTAGCAATAATCTGATTATTTTCCAGGAGGACTGAAACAAATTATGAGCATCATGTACTTAATTTGAATAGGCCTAATTCTATTACTTTCGCCCTCTAAACCCAGTCACAAACAAAACTTTGTGACTGGGTTTGCATTTACCATCCAGAATTGCAAACCAAAACACACTCTGCATGTTTGGTGGTTTTCCCTTGTTTTGATGTGTACTCGCCGTCTTCGTGAATTCTTGCACACTTCCATCCTCAATTCATTTGACTTTATGCTCAAATGCACTCTGGGTCAAGTCATGTTGCTGCTATATGAGTAACAGTCACCAGACATCAACAACACCTCAGTAAAAACTGTGTGCGCGGCCGTGCATTAAAATGATTAAAAGCATTCATAGCCCATGCAGTATTTATAAACATGAGTCAACAAAAGCCTAGGATAGCTAATAAAACACGACACAGCATCTTCTTTGGGAAGCAGCGGAGGTAATAGCTGTTAAGGTAAATTAGCCACCATGCTAACCTTTCTGGAAGGTTTCGGTATCTCAGTGCCGTTGAGTAACGGTGTCCCCTCCCCGGTCAAAGCGGAGTCGTCACCCCGGCTGGACCACGACACTTTCTTGGTGATGTTAGCCATAGTGGCTCCCCGCTAATTCGCCGAGCTGTCAATAGTTCGCTTCATTAACTTCAGCCGTCGTTGCCAAACAACTATTATTCTCTCTCAACTCCCCATAATCATTCCTGCAACTCGTGACGCTTTGTAAGGTTCGCGTGCAGGGTCAAAAACAATCCTGGGGCGCGTTGGCTGCTGGGATTTGACGTTTTTCAGTATTTCAGACTCCAGAAAGTCATGGCAAAAAATTATATTATATTATATTATATTATATTATATTATATTATATTATATTATAAACAATAATTAGGTGACTAAAGACTGTATATGCAAGTAAACTGTATTATTTTCATCTGAACTCTAACGCAGCCAGACTTTACCATTTCAGAGGAAATGGGAGTGCCTTTAACTTGTTGCAGCTCCAAAGTTTGTTCCCTTCATTTTAAATATATATAATAATAATACTTGTTAGTTAACATGTCTACAAAGAACGTAGAGGTTATGCCTGTTATTAACACCTGTGCAGTGGCAAAGGGGTAAGATGCAAAAAATTGTTCTGAATCAAGAACCAGTTTGAGATTTTTAAATCCTGCATACCTCCAAGCATATCAGTTCCTTTTAATCAATTTTTTCTGCACTACAATTATTTCAAACTTACATGTAATGTAAATAATTTTGATGAACCTGAAAAACTGTCACTCAAATTTTTTCCACATGGAAAACAAAGGAAAATAAATAAGAAGATTTTAAAAATACATAAAGCTAAAAAGTAATTAATAAGGAATAGGGGCATAAAAGAATTGCTAATGAAACGGGTATCAGTTTGTGAAATACCATAAGCTTCATTGTTTCATTTGATTTAGCTATAAAAATGTGACTTGCACTTGCAGAGGGAAAGCACTGGATTCATGGAGAGTCATGGAAAGCGGAGAGTTTTTATTCATAAGAACATTATTGATATTCACATAAGCTGCTAAAGTTCAGTTTGCTTGATACATTGGCTATTAGAAAAACAGGCAAGAAACAAGGTAAATAGTAATAAGTAATAATTATATGTGTAGCATGTATCATACTGTGTACAGATTTTAATTTTAGAGTAACACAGCAAAGGCAGGAGGCGTGAGTAGGCATATAAACTGAGCTAATTTCTTAGTTACAGTCTCTTAGTTAGTTTGCGACACTCGCTATTACAACGCTAGTTTTGAAAGTAGTTTTAACATTATAATTATATTATAGTTTGTTTCAGTAAGAATACTTTGAAATCTTTATCAAAGCATCCTTTATATTTGTGTAGCTATGATTATTAGAGTGGATTCTGGCGTTCTCCAGCTGTCCTGGTCTCAGGCTTGACCCTGCTACAGAGTCCACGAATAATAATACTTTTATAAGTGCTGTAGTTAAAGTAGAAACTGATAGCACGGTAGTGTTTACATTCACAAACATAACCTTTGCACAAAAAAAGAAAAGGAATTGCTTAAATGATCACTGCTTTTTTCCTTGATTAGATTATCAGCCACAGTACTCTAAACAATCACAGGCCACATGATGCACCGCCCCATGCACCTCCTTTATATCCTCCATGCCAAGCACCACTCCTCTGGGCACACCTCTTCCTGCCACTACTCCTTCTATCTCTGATGGGCTAAGCACCCGGTTCCATAACCTGAACCCAGCCATTTGCCCAGCAAAACCCTCTGCAGGATCAAACCCTCCACCAACAGAGTCCTGCTCCTGTCCCAGCACCACAGATCCACCTCCGGGAACCTCCCAGCCCTTCCTGAAGTCAGAGCCTGAGGAGGCGAGGAGGTGGTCATTGTAGTGCCAGAATCGACCGTGGATAGAGGACCAAAGGACACAGACATGATGCCAGTGAGCGTCCAGAAGCGGTGACACCTGGAGACGACGATACACGGGGTCTCTAATGACAAAGTCCAGAGAGGGTGAGGAAGAAGGTGAGGATGGAGAAGAAACAGAAAAGGGTGTAGACGAAGACGAGGACCTATGTCCGTAAAGAACTAACTGATTGTCACTGTCATCGGTGGCATAGGAGAGCAGCGTGCCAATATGTTGTGTCTCCACACGAAGCCACAGGCACAGAGAGAGTTCAAGAAGAGCTGGTAGACTCAGGGAGAAGGTGACATAGTTTTCTGCTGAGGCCGAGGGGAACAACACCATGGAGTCCACGTTACAAACTGCAGACAGAGAAAGAAGACGCATTCGAATTCATCTAAACATGGTGCCAACACATACGCATGAACAAACTGAACAGTGCATGGAAAAGCTAAAATGTTGTATGAATGCAACATCAAACTGAGCTAAACAGCAAAAACAGTTGCATGAGAGGCAGTACATGAAAGATAAAAGAGGGTTTACGCAAATCTATAAACAGTAAATGTGATGCTTTTCACTCGATGATAACATGATACAATTTTGAAATGTTTCTTTCTTTGACCTTTTCAGTATCTGAGTAGATACTTTACTTACTGGTTGCATCCCTCTTAGGAATTGGCTGTGCTGGGATCTTGTGCTTGAGAGGAATTTGCAGAAAGTTATGAATCATCGTGTGCCTTTTGTCCTCCTCTCCTTCATCCCATCCACTAACACTTGGCTTATGAGGCCGAAGAGCCTCCGGACTGGTCCTGTTCTGTATGTCTTCTGGTGTATAATGGTTTGGAACACGGGGCAGCATCCTAGAATGCTGTTTGGAGTCTTGTAAATGTGGGGTTTCCTCAGGATGTGAATGGGAATGGGATGGTTGCTGTACTTGGGGATCAGTCTGGCCCTGCAATTGAGACAGAGCCTGGTGGGTGGTATTGATGCTGGGGAGAGTTAGCTGATGCTGATGCTGGGAAGGATAGGGCTGTGTCTGTGCCCAAGTTTGGATCTGGGCCTGGGGCTGGGAAGGGTCTGGATGTGTTTTAGGATTTTCCTTTTGGACTTGTATTTGTAGATAAGACTCTGGCATCTGAGCTTTTGAATGTTTAGGCTGCCTTGCTGCATGGAGTTGGTCTGGCTTAGTTTCGTGATCAGTGTCCGTCTGGATTTGGCTGCTTTCTTGCACTCTGGGTTGGATATGTCCTTCCAGAATCCTTCTACGCTTTCCTCCTCTATTTGTCTGACCTCTTCTGCATGGTTCATTGTATTCCTGAGGTGTGATGTTGGAGCTAACAGGCTCTCCCATCTTCTGCCTTCCATTCCCGTCTAGGACTTCACTGAGCCGGCCCTCGAGTTGGACCAAACGTGTTGCCTGGTTTTTCAGGGATTCCAGCAACCCTTTTAGTCCAATCAGCAACTCATCACGCTGGATTTGAAGAGCAGCCAGTCTCTCCTCTTGACTTCGGAGCTCTAGAGTGAGGTCGAAGAAGTCCTGATCAGGATCGGCTGTCATTTTTTCAGTCTGGTGGCAGTTCTCCCTTAACTTTCTTTCCATTGAAGTCAGGCGACCCATCAGCTGCTTATTCTTCTTCTCAAGCTTCCTGTTTGTCTCCCTGTGGTGACAGTGTGAGAAAATATTTGATTAGGTATTCTTGTGTTCTTGCTTCTCAAATCCAGCTTTTAGTATCAGACTAAGGATGAACTGCTACATTTTATCATGTATGGCATGTAAATAGCTGAATGACCTGAGAAATTACAGTTCAAAACTAATATTACTTCTCAGTGCAGCCCTTCCAGTCTCCGAGAACAGAACATTTACCCCTGGTTGCTCTGACCTGAGATCCTCTATCTCCTGTGTTGTGCTTTGCTTTAGGTGTTCCAGGTCCTGTGATACATGGTGGTAATGGTCGTTCAGGCCTTGAACACGCCGCTTTAGCGCCTGCAAGGAACTCCTGTTCTGGTTCAGGGCCAGCATGTTCAAACGGGCTCGAGTCAAAGCCTGGAACTGTTGGAACTATCAGGGAAAAAAACGTTTTCATGAGTCTTCCTGCAGATGTTTGCTCTCTGACCTCAAGGTCAGGAAAATACTGAAAATCTCCAGTAAATACTGAAAAACACGTGTCACGTGGTCGTGACAACTGATCATCGGGTGCTGCAAGAGATTTTCCATGATTTCAGTGCTTTTACAGCATGACTAATAACATGTATGACAGCAGATAAGAAACAGTATTGCGAAACAGATATTCAACTTTAATCTGATAGTGTCACATAAAAAGTAAACAAACTAATAAAAAGCAAATGTTTGTGTTTCTTTTTTAACCCTCTCGTGCATTTATTCAACAACATTCACCCCCAACTACTCGCAGCAGATTGCTGCTCGGTCCTGAGCCTGGTTCTGTTTCTTTCTTAAAGGTGAGTTTTTCCTTCCCGCTGTTGCCAAGTTCTTGCACATAAGTGGTCATCTGAGTTATTTTAGGGTCTTTACCTTGCACTATACAGTAAAGCACCTTGAGGTGACTGTTGCTGTGATGCTGAGTCATTCCTGTACAAAAATGTCAAATTCCGCGATGATGCTTTTTGATGCTGCAATGAAAGAAATGCCAAAACTAACATGGAAGAACATTTCACAAGTGAGGTGTTATTTTGATTTTGATTTATTTTTGGTCATATGGCTATAGTCCTATATTTCAAACCAAACTTTTTTGGATCAGCTGAAAATTATGATGATTTTCAGATTGTGTGGAGACCTCCCTATGGGCCCAGCTCCTTTACCTTCAGAACAGCCCTGATTCTTTGAAAACAAGAACATTTGTGGCCATATTGAAATGGTAGTACCACAGCTTTTGTGACTAGTGAACAGGGATGGATTTGAGTTATTTGAGTTAGGATATAACTAACACATAAAAAGTAATTTAAAATAAGCCGCATGCATGCAAAGGCAAGTAAAAATTTGAGTTTATGATACTACAATAAGTACTACTGTATAATATAGGTAATAAGGGACTGACCTGCTCATTAAGTCGTTGGAGTTTCTGGGAAACTGGATCAAATCCCTGCACCTTTACAGTCTGAAGCTGCAGCAGAAGCGTGTAAACCAGGACCTGCATCCAGATGCCCACCACGAAGCTGCGCATGGTGCTGGGCAGTGGAGCAAGGATAGATGCAAGCTGTCGGTCTTTGTCTGGGAATGTGTAGTTGAAGGAGAAGAGAACGACATAGCTGAAAAGGGTTGGTCTTGAAACACACTATGTGAAAACAACACTTTCCACAAAATCACTGGGGAGCTGGGAGGAAATGCAGATGGCTTCAGCAGGTGCTCTGCTTCTGTCTTTCTCCCTCTTTCACTGTCAAATACAAATTAATAAACACAAAAGAGAAATGAAGTGCCCGCAATAATCGGATACACAATATTTATTAAGTGTGTTATTATAAAAGCACATTTATTTTTATTTAAAGTGCTGTAAATGGCCATTCAGCTTTGGATATGAAGTTTAGATTTATTAAAAGCTTTCATGAACTTCCTCAAAACACAGCAATCTGAAAATATATTTTCATAAAAACATATTTTGGTTAACTGAAGTAAGTTCGCAGGCTTTTATGTGTGAACTTGTCTGTGTATGTGGCTGTAAAACTCGTGATGTGTGGGCTGAGGGAGAAGCAGCTTGTACTTTCTTCTTCCCCTTGATTCTGCCTGGGGGGATCTGGCTCTCTTCATCTTCTGCTTTTTGTGCAAATGACCCAATCCAGGAATCCTTTTGCAGAGCCCTCCCTTCTGCTTTAATTCTTATGACTCAGTTGCAACACTGCAGCTTCAATCCGCAGGGCTAAACATGGAGAATCTCATTGCATTGATGCCAATATGCTACTTTAAATACACGCTCATGTTAAAGTGAAGTGTTCCATCAAAAGTTACACATGTGAAAGTCTAGTGCAAACAGAGGTTTTACTTTCGCTTTCATTCTGACCTCCCACAAGTCCCACATGCAGCGTCAGTGCCTTTGTCATTTCATTGTCTCACCCTGGAAAGCCCTACACGGGCTCATTGGCCACCAGAAGATCGAGATAATGCTTTGATCAGACTAGATGCTGTGCCGTACTCTTTTTTAAACAGACTTGGCTGTACTTTTATTCAGCCCTTTTCGTCTCCTTTTGGGTTTTTTTGTTGTTTTTTAAAGTCCTTTGTTGAAAGCTGGGCAGTATATTTTGGCACACTGTGATAACGTTTTATCACACGGTGCTTTTGTGGATTTTTGTTTCTTTTTTTTTTTTTCTTTTAAACAACAACTTCAGTTTCTTTCGTGTGGAGGATCATCAACGGTCAGAATCTTGAGTCCGGTTATAAAAACCTCCCATAAAGCAAACATGGATGAAGTGACTCCACTGCTGCCAAGACAATCAACATCCCAGGTCTGAGCTCACTGATTGTCATTTGAAATCCTATAAGCTTAAAAGATTTAATGGAGAAATAAGATCATGTCTACATCGCTTTGTTTATGGTCTAACTCATTTCTCACTTCAGACAGACAGTATTTTTAAGCTGTGTTTATAGTGTGGGTGTCGAGCTGTTTTAAACTCTGAGTTTATGCAAATTATGTGAATAAACTAACCGTTCAGTGCAGCAGCTGAATGGAGATGTCTATCTCCAGCCTGACGGTTAACAGTCCAAATCTTTCTTTGTTTGACGGTAAAGTTGACATGTGTGAAAAATAAAAAGCATGATTTATTTTACAGTGTGATTCAAAACTCTGATGATAAATGAAAACTTGGCCTGAGTGAAAGAAATCCCACCTGTTACTATACTGATTTAACTTTCAATGAGCAACACAAACATCCCATCCTCTGACTTTGATTTGCTCATTGCCGAAATGTTGATTTCTCCATTCCAAGCAAACCGCTCATAGCTTTGTTTGTCTGACTGCAGTGTTGCATTTTAGGATGACCTCAACAGGAAAATGAAACAGAAGTCAAGAAGCTTGTGAACTCCAGACAACTTGCTTTATGTCACTTTCTTAACTGATTACTCGAGAATATTTCAAGGTGAATCCAGAGTTTCTTGTTTTGAATTTTTTTCCTCCACTTCTGGAAAACACCACAGAACTTTCGTTAACTAAGTTCAACTGGTTTGATTACTTTTTGCTATTTTTGCACATTTAAATACAGAAAATACACAAATCTGTGCGTGACTTCTCTTCTGTAAGTTAACTCATCACTTCCCACCTCCCTTTTCTGTCATGGTCTGTCAAGAGAGAATTGTTGAAGGCAAAAGAACTCAGACTCAAGATATCTTATACATGTGCACACATGGACGACTTCCCCTCATCGCCCGATCCATCCTGCAGCAACGTGTGCAGGACAGATATGAGCCAGAGGAAAAAGACCGCCCAGGGCATCCAAAACATTCTTTATTTATACTTAAGCAAGTTTTCAAGGAAGTAGGATTGGCAAAAACATTTCCATAAAAGGAGAAAGAGACCGTTAGCTTGCCTGTTGACAAAGGAGGTAGTATGCATAGAAATGCAGAGATTTTCCATAAAAGGACAGAAAGAGAGGGGGAGCGCCAGTCTGTCTGTTTAAAACCGGATGTCACCACATTCCTTTTACACATATGGCTTCAATCTCTCTCTGTGTGTTGGCTCCAATTCACAACCTCTTCTTCCTTTAAATGAAGCTACAAATCACAAAATTAAAAAATCTCTCATCATGGTCCCTGCTCCTTCAAAGTCATGCAAACATGATCGCACACTTGAATAGAGCAGGTGCACAAATGCAAGTGTAGAAAGATGGGTTTGGCTCAGTGTCCCAGTTTTGTATGGCAGGGGCCTGATTGATGATAACTGAATACCAAAGCTTTCATTTTCTGCTTTTCAACCCTTTTGTTTCATGTGGTCACGTTTCTTCCCAAAAATCCAGCTGAGTTGCAACTCTTACTGGTATGTGACTTTTAATTAACCAAACTGCTTCACATAGGTTTGTTTTCCTATACCTAAACTCCTTCCATCTGTATTTTGTGAGACGCTCAATCTAAAATAGTTTCCACAATACTGCTTTCTAGTTATTCTACTGTCAATAGAAGAACTGTCACCAGTCATGCAGGCAATAATCTCATCCTTCATTTATCTTTGAAACTCAAAACATCAACCAAACAAATATAGTTTTTAAATATTAGATATATTTTTCATTATTCATTATTATTTATATTAATATTATATTATTTTTATTATTATATATAATCCCCCCCCTTTAATATCTACTCTCTGGACAACATGCTGATTTTTAATTTATTTGGGATGACAAACCTCTCGGACACTTCCACACCTATCATTGATTCACTGAACATCCAGATCAGTTTCAACTATATATGTGCAGTTGATCTTGTGTTTGAACGTGTCCACACCTCTTTGTCTTAGATTAAAAACTCTGGACTGTACCTGGCCACATTTGCAGCGGTCCTGGGGAACTTCAACTCTGGTTACTCCCTTGTCTACCCATCTCCCGTGCTGCCATATTTCCAGAGTCCCGACACCGACCCTCGGCTCAGGATGAACACCGAGCAGGCCGCCTGGTTCGGATCTATCTACTCCCTAGGTGCTGCAGCCGGGGGGCTAGGGGCCATACTGCTCAATGACATGATTGGACGAAAGCTGAGTATTATGATGTCGGCGTTGCCCACAACTCTCGGGTTGGTCTCAGTCACAGCATACACAACATGAAGCCCTCTTTAACACTTTTAACAGACAGATTTGCAGAGAACAGAATAGAAAAAATAGAAATGCTCTGTTATCATAGTACACATACAACAAAATTGTGAGTGCTCCACACAAACTGTGCAGGAATAAAATATAAATAGTATGACAGCAGAACAAGAGGAAGATTATAGCATATATTATAACATTGGTAATATTGTGTAAGTAGATCATTTATTTCTATATTCTGTACTTTGATGCTATGACATCCCAACTTTAAACATTTGAAAACCTAAAATACCACTGAAAGCACATAATGCACTAAACTGGGATGAACTGGGAGCCAATGGAGTTGTTTAAGAACAGGTGTTATATGTTCAGTGGATCTAGTTCTGAAAATAATACGAGCAGCTGTATTTTGAACTAACTGCAATTTATGGAGGGATTTATGAGGTAGACCATAGAGAAGAGAATTACAGTAACCCAGACGAGATGTGACAAGAGCATTGACAAGTATGGCGGTACTGTGTGGTGTGAGTGAGGGACGAAGACGGTTAATATTACGGAGATGAAAGATTGGAACACCTCTATGAAAGCAGAAGAAGAAGAACACAATGCCACAACCATCCCAGGAGTGAATGTCTCAGCAGATTAACTCCACTGCTCAGAGAAACTGCAAAAAACCCAAGAGCTAAACCTCAGACAGGCCTCAGTCAGCATGTTAAATGAGGGCTGAAAAATGATGGCTTATTTGGAAGGATTGCCAGGAGTAATCTTCTTGTCTTGGCAGCACTGCTTAGGTCTGCAAAGTTGCACCTGGTGATGTGTTTCATGAATATTACACTGTAGACTATTTATTTATTTATTTATTTATTTATTTGTGTCCTGTTTGGATCTTTAGCCATCAGAATTGTTGTCTTAAGGCCAAGAAAGATGCCAA